GATGCCCAGTCTTGAGTTGCTCGATCTGTGCGAAGTCTGTCCCATTTAGCACGGTGATAGTGCCACACAACACAATGGAGGTTATTCTCAATATGAAGGACTGTGCGATGGTCACTCTTACAGATTCTGTCATGGACAGATACAACTGCAGCTGGCAGATTGGTAAGGATGAGGTCAAGTATGGTTTTCCCTCTTGTTGGTTCCTCACCACCTGCCGCAGACCCAGTCGAGCAGCTATGTCCTTTAGGACCCGACCAGCTCGATCAGTAATACTGCTGTTGAGCCACTCTTAGTGGTGGACATTGAAATCCCTCACCCAGAGTACATTTTATGCCCATCATCAGTGCTTCCTCTAAGTGTTGTTCAACATGGAGGAGTACTGATTCATCAGCTGAGGGAGGACGGTATGTGGTAATCAGCTGGAGGTTTCCTTGCCCATGTTTAACCTGAAGCTATGAGATTTCATGGGGTCCGGAGTCAATGTTAAGGACTCCCACAGCAACTCCCTCCTGACTGTAGCCCACTGTGCCCCCAACTCTGTGGGTCTGTCCTGCCGGTGGACAGGACATATCCAGGGATGGTGATGGTGATGGTGGTGTGGTGTCTGGGACATTGTAAGGTATGATTCTGTGAGTATGACTATGTCAGATTGTTGCGTGACTAGTCTGTGAGACAGCTGTCCCAATTTTGGCACTAACCCCCAGATGTTCATCAGGAGAACACTGTTGGGTAGATGCCAGTGTTATAGCTGCATTGGAGTAGCTTGGCTAGGGGTGCAGCTAATTCTGGAGCATGATATCAATACTACTGTTGAGATGTTGCCAGGGCACATTGCCTTTGTGATATCCAGTGCCTTCAGCTGTTTCTTGATATCACATGGAGTGGATTAAATTGACTGAAGGCTGGCATCTATGATAGTGCAATCCTTGGGAGGAGGTCAACATTTGCCATCCACTTGACATTTCTGGCTGAACTTCATCACGAGTGTTTCAGTTTTGACCTTTGCACTGAAATTCTGGGATCCCACATTACTAGTGACAGGAATATTTGTTCAAATGACCTGCACGATTCACAATTAGATGTGGCTGTTGGGCACTGTCTCTACAACACGCTGCCACTGCTGTTTATCTTGAGTCTAGTCTTTATGTGACCTAGTCTTGCAGTTGATAGTCCTGGAGCAGCTTGGAAGACTTTACTGAATTGAAGATAATATTTAAATGTAGGGTAAATTGGGATTGGCCAGCTCAATTGGCTAAACGGCTGCTTTGCAATGCAGAGTAACACTGACTGTGTGGGTTCAATTCGTGCACCAGCTAAGGCTACCATGAGGGTCCCACCTTCTCAACCTCACCCCTCACCTGAGGTGTGACGCATATTCTGTCTCTCTCTTTATCACGTACACTCTCTCTATGACATACATACCCTCTCTCTCTCTCTCACACACACGCACACTCTCGTATAGACACCCTCTTTCTGTCACACACTGTCTCATTCACACGCACATTTTCTATCACACTCTCTCACACACACACTCACTGTCATACATACTCACACACACTCTCTCACACACTCGCTCTCACGCACACTGTCTCACACACACACTCTCTCATACACTCTCTCACACACACTCTCTATCACACTCTCTATCACACTCTCTCTCACACACTCTCTCACACACACACACTCTCTCTCACACACTCGCTGTCATGCACACTCTCTCTCTCTCACACACACACTCTGTCTCTCACACACACTTTGTCTCTCACACACACTCATACACACTCTCACACACTGTCATATACACTCTCTCTTTCCCACACTCTCACTCTCTCACAAACTTTCTTCAGGTTAAATCCCCACCAGTCATTTCTTTGTAATGAGATAGTAGCCCTGATGCTCTGGTACTTAGCAACATTACATACAACATAAATAGAAGATTTCGTCATAGGAGGATAAACTTAAGGGCAATGATTTAAAGTTCATCATTGTGGTTGCTAAAGAGTTTAACAAAAGGCTGCTTGCTGACACCCAGAAGCATGCAAACAAACAGGGGTATCTCATAAATATATTTAAATAAACCGTGACAAATAGCTAGTAATGTAGAAATTTTAAATAAACAGTCTCTCAGTTTATAAAGTTAATAAAGTGTTAAAAAAGTAGAGTTTTTATTTTGATTTTGGAAAAGTCAGTGCATGTGTGTGTGTACAGTCAACAATCATTACCGGATTGTTAGTGCCAGAAAACATATCATTTCTAAAATCATTGACAAAGTGTGGGAAGTGATTTGAAATGCATGGAGATCATTGACAGTCTAGTCACAAGCTTGGTTTCTGTTGAAGGATGTGAATCTGTTGGTGACATTTCTGAAGAGATTATTAAATTGATAGAAATCTAGCAAATAGGAACAGGAGTAGGCCACTCAGCCCTTCAAGCCTGCTCCACCATTCAATATGATCATGGCTGATCATCCAACTCAATGCCCTGTTCCTGCTTTCTCCCCGTAATCCTTTAATCCCTTTAGCCCTAAGAACTATATCTAAATCTTTAGAGTCATAAGAGTCATACAGCATAGAAATGGACCCTTTGGCCCAACTTGTCCATGCTGCCTAGGTTTGCCAAACTGAACTCACCCCATTAGCTTGCATTTAGTCTAAATGCCTCTAAACCTCTCCTATTCATGGACCCATTCAAATGCCTGTTAAATGTTGTAATTGTACCAGCCTCTGCCACTTCATCTGGCAGCTCATTCCAAACACACACTGCCCCCTGTGTGAAAACATTGCCTATCAGATCCCTTTTAAATCATTCCCCTCTCACCTTAAACCTATGCCCTGTGGTTTTGGACACCCCCACCCTGGGGAAAAGAGCTTAGCTTATCTAAGCCCCTCATGATTTTCTATAAGGTCACCCCCTCACCCTCCTATGCTCCAGTGAAAATAGTGCCAGCCTATCCAACCTCTCCTTATAACTCAAACCCTCCAGTCTCGTTAATATCCTGGTCAATTTTTTTTGCACCCTTTCCAGTTTAATAACATCCTTCCTATAGCTGGGAAACCAGAGTTGTGTGCAGTACTCCAGGTGTGGCCTCACCAATGTCCTGTACAGCTGTAACATGTTGTCTCGACTCAAATATTCAGTGCTCTGACCAAAGAAGGCAAGAATGCCAAATGTCTTCTTCACCAGCCTGTCTATGTGTGATGCCACTTTCAAGGAGCTATGCACCTGTAACCCCATGTCTGTTCAACAACTCTCCCCAAGGCCCTACCATTAGCTGTATAAGTCCTGCCTTGGTTTGTCTTATCAAAATGCAACACCTCGCATTTATCTAAATTAAACTCCATCTGCCACTCCTTGATCCACTGGCCCAACTGATCAAGATTCCTTACCAAGATCCTTTTTGAAAACATTCAATATTTAAACCTTGAGTGCGGTTTTTGAGCATTTTTTCTGGGTGAAAAAATTTCTCCCCATCTCAGTCCTAAATGACCTTCCTGTATCCTTAGTCTGTGACTCCCTGGTGCTGGACTCCCTGGTCATCGGGAACATCCTTCCTGTGGGTACCCTGTTTAGTCCTGTTAGAATTTTATAGGTTCCAGTGAGAATCCCCTGTTGTGTCATTCTCACGTTTTTATTCACATGGAAAGTCTTGCCTTGTGAAACTTGCAACTGAATCATCTACACACTCCACTTGATTAAAGTGTGTAAGATTCTGAATAGTCTCGATCAGGTGGATGTAGGAAGGATGTTCCCTCTTGTGGGTCAGTCTGGTTAGTTTTATAATTCGGGGCCATGATCTTATTGAATGGTGGACCAGGCTGAATGGTCTAATTCTGCTCCTATTTCTTATGTTGCTATGATGTCACTATGGTAGGTCACCTACAACCTACTGTCCACATGTTGAGGTTTGTAATACAGTGGCATTCGTGAAAAGAAAATCATCTCCGTTAAAGTAACTGCATGCAACAACAATGATGTGCATTTGCTTTAACCCCTAATTTGCTAAAACGCAGGTGCGATTATCAAAAAAAATTTGACCCAAGTTCCCACGGTAAGGGACAGTAGGTCAGCTGACCCAGAGCTGAGGGAAAAGCCTGGGTTTTAAGAATGAGTGAGAGACGAATGGGTTTAGAGAGGGAATTCCAGAGCTCAGGCTCAAATTCTGAAGACAAGCCTCCTAGTGGTACAGCAATGAAAGCTGGGGCCATGAGAGAGAGCAGATTTGGAGGGGTGCAGAGATCTTGGAGAAGCTGCTGGAGGAATTTACAGAGATCGGGAAGGGTGGGGAGAGGTTTGGTCAGGTGGGTGGGAATTTAGAATCTATTATGCAAGAGCCTCTTCTGGAGTAGTGTGTTCAGTCCTGGTCACCCTACTACAGGAAGGATATTATCATGCTGGAGAGGGTTCGGAAGAGATTTACCAGGATGTTGCCAGGAATGGATGGTTTGAGTTAAAAGGAAAGACTGGATAGGCTGGGACTTTTTTCACTAGAGAATAGGAAGTTGACAGCTGACTTTCTAGAGGTTTTTAAAATCATGAGGGGTACAGATAAGGTGAATGACAGGTGTCTTTTCCCTAGGGCGGGGGATTTCAAGACTAGGGAGTGTATTTTTAAGGCAAGTGGAGAAAGATTTAAAAAATGACACAAGGGGCAATTTTTTTACATAGAGGGTGGTTGGTATATGGAGTGAACTTTCAGAGGAAGTGGTGGATGTGGGCATAGTTACAACATTTAAAAGACTTTTGGATAAGTACATAAACAGGAAATGTTTGGAGGAATATCAGCCAAGTGCAGACAGGTGGGACTAGTTTAGTTTGGGGTTACGGTCAGTACGGACTGGTTGGACCGAAGAGTCTATTTCTGTGCTGTAGGTTTGGGAGAGAGTGTGGGTCAGTGAGCTCATGGACAGAGGGTGAATGGGGGATAAACTGTTTCTCACCCTGCCTGAATTGTGAAGCTTACTGACTGACAGGAACAGGATGGTTTCTCTTTCTGCTTGCAGTGCGCCTGGCGATATTGGAAGCAGGGTTTTCTCGAGCCAGGGAGGAGGATGAAACTGCCAATCTGATCTGGAATGATGCTGCTGTGCAGCAGGAGAGGATCGCTGATCTGAGAAACTATCAGGTACATCAGCGTGGCATTGCCCACCTGCCTTCTTGGCTCAGCTGTGAGATCATTTTGCCTTTTTGACTCTGGTGAGTGTGCAATCAAGGATCAGAAGTAGGCCATTCCGCCCCTTGAGCCTGCTCTCCCATTCAATGATATGATTACTCTGCAATCACAACTACTCCCAATGATCTCTAAACACCCCGCCCCCTCCGCCTTATCAACAATCTATCCACCTCTAGCTTAAAACATTCAAAGTCCCTCTTTTGAGGACTAGACTCTCGACCCTCGGCTCTTTGAAAACGGGTGACCCCTGTGGAGAGTGGATTAATGAGGGGAACAAAGAGTGGGGTGATGATGGGAGCAGGGAGTGGGGTGATGGGG